GGCTCGTTGGCCTGGTATCTATATCATTCATTATATGGATGATATTCTTTTGGCTGGAAAATCAACTGATGAACTCCTTAAGTGTTATCAAGATTTAAAAGATAATCTTGCTTCCTCTGGCCTTCAAATTGCTTCAAATAAGGTACAATTAAAAGACCCATACTATTATCTTGGTTTCGAATTAAACAAAAAAATAATTACCACTCAAAAGATACACATACAAGTATCACATTTGCAAACCCTCAATGATTTTCAAAAATTTTTGGGAGATATTAATTGGCTACGACCGTATCTTAAACTTACTACGGGAGAGTTAAAACCCTTATTCGAAATTTTACAAGGGCCATCAGATCCCTTGTCACCCCGTAGGCTGACTAAGGAGGCTAAAAATTCTCTTCAATTAGTAGAAAAGGCCATTAGATGTCAACAGATTACCTTTTTAGATTATGGTCGTCCCTTTAGTTTGATTATTTGTGCCACTGCACATACACCCACTGGAGTCCTATGGCAAGATCATCCCCTCTTGTGGATACATTTGTCCGTATCTCCTAATAAAGTGCTTAAGACCTACCCTTCCTTAGTAGCACAGGTTCTTACTTTGGGCAGAGAAAAAAGCCTCAATTTTTTGGCAGAGATCCTGATCATTTGATTCTCCCCTATACCAAAGAAGAGCTTGGTTGGTTATTACAAACTGATGATAAATGGCTTGTTTCCTTATCCTCCTTTCAGGGTAATATTGATAATCATTATCCACCTGATAAGCTCCTTCAGTTTGCTAGAAAACATCTGTTTATATTTCCCAAAATCACTTCTGCTGTTCCTCTGGGAGATGCTGCCCTAGTATTCACTGATGGATCATCATCCGGTGTTGCTGTATTTGTTATAAATAATCAGCCCTATAGGGTACAGTCCCCCTTTTTATCAGCACAACTTGTTGAGCTTTTTGCCATTCTTCAGGTTTTTGAGATGTTACAGAATATCCCCTTTAATTTATATACGGACAGCTCATATATAGCTTTGTCCGTCCCCCTTTTAGAAACTGTTCCATATATTAAACCCTCTTCCAATGCTGTTCCCCTTTTTCAACAACTTCAAAGTCTTATACTTCGAAGACAAGCGCCTTTTTTTATTGATCATCTTAGGGCTCATACAGATCTTCCTGGACCCCTCTCTCAGGGCAATGATTTAGCTGATAAAAATGCCCGCCTGATGTGCACCGTAACCTCTGATTCTGTTTCTCAAGCTACTCAATTTCATCAGCTACATCATGTTAATGCACATACTCTTCGCTTAATGTTTAAGCTTACTCGAGAACAATCAAGACAAATTGTAAAAAATTGTCCAGGGTGCGTTACATTTTTACCTCTTCCACATCTTGGGGTAAACCCAAGAGGTCTATTACCTAATGAAATCTGGCAGATGGATGTTACCCATCTTGCTAAATTTGGAAAATTAAAATTTATTCATGTGTCCATTGATACCTTTAGCGGCTTTATATATGCCTCCCTTCAGGGAGGAGAAGCCACAAAAAACATTATTTCACATGTGCTCCAATGTTTTACAGTTTTAGGCAAGCCTCAAATAATTAAAACAGATAATGGGCCTGGGTATACCTCCCAGGCTTTCCAAGATTTTTGCACCCGGCTTCAAATAAAACATCTTACGGGAATTCCATATAACACCCAGGGTCAAGGCATAGTAGAAAGAGCCCATCAAACCCTTAAAAATACCATTTCCAAGCTTAAAAATAATGATTTAACCGCTACAAAAAATTCCCCAAAAAATATTCTTAGTCATGCCCTGTTTGTAATTAATTTTTTACAATTAGATAATAATGGTAGATCTGCCGCCGATCGCCTTTGGCATCAAGAAACTAAATATCAATATGCACAAGTTATGTGGAAAGACCCTTTGACCTTTAAATGGCATGGACCCGATCCACTCCTCATCTGGGGGAGAGGATCCGCATGTGTATATAATACCAAAGAAGGTGGAGCACGCTGGTTGCCTGAGCGCCTTATTAAACCTATAAGTTCTATAAAGTAATAAATTTTACCCAGGGCCCTTTTCCCTGAGATTGTATTTCTTTTTCTTTTTCAGAAAAAGATGGAGACCCTCCTAATATTGAAAGAGCGGCAGAGACGACATGAGCTATCCGTTGTGACCCTGATCCTGTCATCTTTGCTGGTTGTTGGACAGGCTGAAAGCACTCCCCACTTGCCTCAAAATTTAACCTGATACATTACCATCGCCTCGCCATTACAGAAGCAGAACCAAAGGATGATTCTGGCTGCCCCTCCACTGGAGCGGCATGAAACAGAGACATGCCTACCCCCCTCTTTGATGGAGGGTATGGGTACCGAGTTGAGTGTGGCAGCAAAGCATGCACAAGGGAAAACGCGTATATATGTATATACAAGGTAATCTCTGTTATTCCCTGTGAGTATACCTGAATTATGATAGAGGTTGGTATCTAAACATTGTTTTTGGCTTTTAGTAGCTAAGATTATCTTTGGCTCTGCCTCTCCTCCCCAAAAGATACCAAGAGCCGATGAGTGTGGACACACATACCTTGTCCACGGGAGGATTCAGGTCACTACTCCCTCACTCGGTTAATGCCCACCTCCTTAAAAGAAATAAAAAGGGAGGAAATGTTGGGAGCCAAGAAGTTTTCGCCATTAGAAGATGGCCGATACCCTGCTTCTCTTCCTGATTTATGAGATAGAAGTTCGCGCCTAAAATGAAAGCCCGCGCACGCAGCACCAATGATGATTAGCCAAGTACTTCCCTCATTCTGAATCCCGCCCCCCTTTCTCTGCAGTGTATAAATACAGCTACCGCAGCAATAAAAGTTTGAGGCTTGATCAGGATTCTGTCTTGCCTCCATTCTTTCGCGTCTCCTGCCCTTCCCCCTTTTTTCAACCCCCACAGGTTCCTCCTCGGACTCACAAGGATTTGTCCTGCTGGTCGGGAACTCCCGGGGACGCCCGGGGCCGTACACATAGGATGACCCCAAAGTTACCTGTGCACGCTAGTTAGAAGTGATGGTAGCAAACACTGCTGGTGCTCTGTCCTCGGATGCCCTTTATCTTCTCTCCCCCGCCCAGTCTACACTGTTTTACTTCCAATGGCCTGCACCTACCAACTCTTCCACTGCTCAAGGGTTATTGGAACCACTCTGGCACACAGCGTAGAAACTTAAGCATGTCCTGCTCACCCAAGGCAGCCCTTAGGCAATCACCGATTGCAGTTGGGCTATGAAAGCCCAGCTGCTTTGCATTAAAGCCAGGACACAGTCTGAGATGTACTTCACATTCCAGAGTCCATTGCCTGTTAACACTAAGGCTGGGATTTTGCCTGAAATCATGACTCTGCTTGGCTTCCTTCCCTCCTGGCCCAGCTTCCACACTCCCTTACCAGCTTCGCCTGGGGGCATGTCCACACACATCCGCATGTCAGGATTTGCTTCAGGGGAACCCTGCCTAGGTCATTAGCTGCCCTCCTTGGCTTTCCCCACATTTTGATTCTTCTTGTTCTTCCAAACGTCTCATTCCGTGTTGACAGCTGCAGTTTGTGGTACCTGTTTTAAGTCTCAAACTTCTGTTAGGACACACACAGGGTCTCGGTTACCAGAGACCCTTGATAGGTGATTCCTAGTCATAGTGTGTATTTTAAGTTCCTCTCTGCCAATGGCACAGTCCTGGGTACTGCACCACTGGGCTGGATGTCACCTCATGCTGCCATGGGCAGTGGTCAGCATTTGTACCCTTCCCCAGGGCAATGGATTTGCCCCATCAGATACATGTTCTAGTTTCTCTCCTCTGGCAAAAGTCTGAGTCTAATATCGGAGAAGAGTCATGATCTGCCTTTCAAGAACATGAATTAGAAACTTCTACCTGCTTCTGAGTGAGTTATTCCTTTGTGTTTGTTTCTTCTTATTTCTGCTGTTTGGTTGAACCAGAGTTAATGAGGGCTACTGTACCTGAGCAGGACCCTTGGACCCTTCCCGGGACAGACTCCCCCCCCCATATCCTCCACTGTAGCTCCTCTCTGAAGTACCTAGATAATAGTATCTGGTGCACATTTCCTGAGTTGTTTTACAGATGCTAAAACCACCACCAAGTGGAAGAAATTAACTACTTGATGATCATGGGCATGTAGCTCCCAGACCTACCGGCACCTAAGGACTGATAATGTTTATCCCTCTGACACCACTCTGTTACCTCACCATCAACTGATCAGAGAATTGTACACGAGCTGATCACATACCCTGTGACCCGCCCTCCCTCACCTGGCCTTTAAAAATGCTTTGCTGAAACTCTTCGGGGAGTTCCGGCTTTTCCTAGCCCTAGCTGTCCTGGACTCCTTGTAGGTGCCCTACGATAAATGCCGCACTTTCCTTCACCACAACCCGGTGTCAGTAGATTGGCTTCACTGCACGTGGGCGAGCAGACCCACGTTTGGTTCAGTAATACTACTATGGTTCTGCTTCTGACTTGTGTCTGAGAATGTGGGTGACTCAATGGGACAGCCAGGATACAGCTCAGGCAGGAGGTGGGACTTGAGTGGTGACAGCAGAAGGGGAGCCGTCCTAGAGAACGATGTGTGGAATTCCATAGCTGGCATGACTCCAAAATTTGGATCCTGGGATGGACAGGGAGTTCAGACTCTGGGCCCCAGGTGGGTGTATGATGGTGGCTTTCTACCGTTGACACTTTCTCACTGTGTTTGAGCTAGGAATGTTATTCAAGGCCACTGAAGGCGTTATCTTTTTGAGAGCTATCTGCAGCAGTTGAGGACAAAACTGGGTGGTTCCAGACATCCTGACTCAAAGGTAGCCCAGCCCTCTTGAGATCCACTCAATGGCAAAGCCTACATTATCCACCATCTTGGAGGGACCACGGTAGACAGCAGGGAACGACGCCCCCGGCAAGCTCCCCAAACCCTCTCCATGCCAGCCCCACGTGACACCTTAACTCCCACTCTGGAGGCAAACTCACGATTTTCACAGCGCTGCCCGGTGTAGCCTGCCAGGCAGGCGCACTTGTAAGATCCGGTGTTGTCAAGAAGGCAACTGCCGTCATGGAAACACGGCGCCGAGGAACAGGCTGTAAGAGAAAAGGCAACTTCTCTCAGTGCCCCGGGCAGTGAGTCCGTTTCTTCAAGCCTCCGGTCTTTCACTTGTTCGTCAGTCTTCCTGCAATTTTTTAACTCCTTTTATCGATATCATGTTACCATTGTTTGAGGTTGCCTAAAACAGCTGCTCATTAATCAAATGCTGCTGATGTTATCTGATGTTTTCCAAGGCCCCAGAAGTATGCTCCAGACACTTAAGAGTCTGAGACAACACACACAGGCGCACCACACAATTAAAGCGGAGGCGGGCTTCACCCCCTCCTGTAGGCGCTCGGTGGGAGACAGCAGCCTTGGGTAATAGATCATCTTTTTTTTCAAGGAAGCTCAGTATCCGGGATACTGGGGGAAAGGAACCGGAAGATGATCTTCATGACACTAGTGAAAGTGTACTCAAGAAGTTTCAGACACGCATTCTGTAAACAGTAGTCCCTTGAGATACTGAGAGTTAAGGTCTCAGATAGGGTGGGGAAATGCTACTGGTGTTAAATGATAATTAACCAGATTCTCTACTGCAGAACTTCTCGGAACACTCCACATTCTGAGGTGCCTTGTGAATTTCTAAGAATGTACATAACATCCCACCTTTCACAGGCTTATCTGACCTGAGAGACTGCATTTTACAGAGTGTCCTGGGGACTATTTTTCTACAGAGAACACTTTGGGAAACACTAGTCTGCTTGTTACCCACCAATTCCACATTCATTTACCCTGGTGTAGAAATATATCACTCGGTCAAGTTCAACAAACCCAAATCGAGTGTTTGCTCTGTGTAAGGCACTGGAGGGATACAAAGTTGAACGGGAGCTCCCACTCACCAGATCAGAGCCTTTGGAACAAGAGTAGGCAGTGACTATAAACTGAAGCATGATTCAGTTAGTGTCAGAAAAGAGAGAAAGTGCTAGAAGACATTCAGAAAAAGGCAAAGCCACAGCCCATCAGAACAAGGGAAAAGGCTCAACGGGAGGAGAAATCCGATAGGGCCTTGAAGGGTGGGACTTGATGGGCAGGAGTTGGGAGGTGGGTTTAGTCAGAGGGAGTAACTTGAGCACAGGCGGGACGCTTCGGGTGTTTGAGGAACGGGAAGAGCTCTGTCTGACTGTTTGACAATGGAGACCAGAGTTTCCAGAGTTCTCCAGGGGAGGTTGAAGAAGAGACCCTCCTAACTCTCCCCTCAGTCACAGGGTCACAGGCTGGCGAGCCACTGCTGCCCCCAACTGCTGACTGCCATAAACACCCCCAGATGCATCTCAGCCTCAGCTGGTAGGGCGTCACCGAGGGGCAAGGATTCAGCCACAGGCCGACCGCACCACAGCAGCAAAGCTTCTAGAACTCCCAGGCTCTGAGCAGCTGCAGAGGAGACTGACATCCCGGAAGGAGGCCGTCACACGGGAGCAACTGCCTAGAGCTCCTGTGGGACCATTCTCCGCGCGAGGAGGCTGGGGAGGGTGGGCTGTCTGCCGGTCTTGCTGAAAGGACAGGGCGGATGCCACTACTGCCCGCCTCCCTTCCTGAGACTTCTGTATCACACCTTCCATAAGGAAGCTATAATGGTCAATTGCAATTTTTAAAATTCAGTATTAAAATAATAGAACTTCCAGCTCGAGTTTATTTTGTAAAACCTGATGCAATCCAATCTCTGAGGACTGAGCACTTTGTTCATTCTGGCCAAATCCTACTTCCTAAATGAACAGGACAGGAGGTGAAGTCAGACTCAGAGTTACTCATAAAGTATGTGGCATTTCCTATGTTGTTTAAGACTTTGAACACCTATTTGAAAGATGACAAAGGGAGGCTCAGGGCATGCCTGGGGCAAGGCGGCTACTGAGGGCTTCCTCTGTACCAGACACTGTGCTAAGCTCTTCATCTGTTCTGTCTTCCAGCACCTCCTTAACGGAGCAGGATCTAGGGTTATGTCCTTACTCCCTGATTAGGAACATGAGGCCCAGAGAAGTAGAACTTGTCCAAGCCACACGGCTTAATCTGCTAGGGACCAAAGCTAATGCTCTTAACCATGACAGCCCCTAATAGAAGCTCTAGAGCCAAACTGTACAGATCCCTGGTTCCATCCCCAGAGCTGTGCAACAACAGACAAATTACCTGGTCTCTCTGTGCTGCAGCATCTAAACAGGGGAGTTAATAATTCTTAGCTCTGGTCCTAGTGAGCGTTTCTGAAATATCCCTTGCCATTGCTCTCTACCTTCTTTTTTTTTTTTTTTGCGGTATGCGGGGCTCTCACTGTTGTGGCCTCTCCCATTGCAGAGCACAGGCTCCGGACGCGCAGGCTCAGCGGCCACAGCTCACGGGCCCAGCCGCTCCGCGGCATGTGGGATCTTCCCAGACCGGGGCACGAACCCGTGTCCCCTGCATCGGCAGGCGGACTCTCAACCGCTGCGCCACCAGGGAAGCTCCTCTCTCTACCTTCTTAATGTGCAGGTTGCTTCTGAGAACCCAGCACGCTGGGTTTTAACAAGGCTGGGCAGGGAGAAGGGGGGTGCACAGAAAGGAACGTTTGTCTGGAGCACAGCCATAAAATGCGACACTCGTCTCCCTGGCCTTTACCTGTGATCTCCTCAAAGACGGCATGGAAGCCGTCAAAGTTCTTGGAGCCATCTGAGTGGAAGAGGACGTGGAGCGAGGAACCCGAGCTTCGGATGGGAGCTGGCCGCTCGTTGCCACAGAAACGCCTGATGATCTGACTGTCGCTGCTGTCCCCGTCACGGACCTCGACATAGTCATACTGGCACATGTAGTCAAACTCCAGGCTCAACATGACAATCCTGTGGGTGGAGAGGGTGACAGCAGGAAACAGGTGGGCCCCAGATAGTCCTTACACCCCTGGGCAAGTTCAAGGCCAGATGATAAACAGGTCTCTTGAAGAGTGGTGTCATTGGCCTGATGCGATAGGACAATGGTCCTGGAGGACTTGAGGTCAGATACATTTCTTTTAATGTGTGTAGGTAGGTATTCTGTGTGCAGGTGTGTGTACGCACACGCCCAGGTGAGGGGAGTCCCTTCGGAGAATCTCTGCACACACTGGCTCTTCTTCCAGGAGCACTTCTCCTCTCAGGCTGCGTGGCTGGTTCTTTCCTATCCTCGGGTCTCAGCTTAAATATTCTCTCCTCAAAGAGGCTTCCCTGACAACTCTTTCTAAAGGAGATCCATTGTTTTCTTCATAATGCGTAGCTACATTTTAATTTCTCATATTTATCTCCTTGACTTTGTGAGTGTGTGCGCATGCCCGTCTCCTCCCCTTGACTGCAAATTCCTCGAGGGTAGAGTGTGACACCTGTCTTATTCCACCACTGTTTGCTTAGTGCCTAATGCAGTGCATGGCGCATAGAGACTAAACAAATATTGCTGAATAGATGACAATGGATACTCTATCGTAATTTTACAACTGGAGAGTGGAAAAGAGTATGTTGTCTTGCAAGACCAAGTAAAGGAAAAAACCCTCTGCACGCTCTTCTGTCTGACGGAAGGATCAGAAGATAATTATTCTCTTGGTAACAATTCTTGCCCCAAAGAGTAGAAAAAGTAGCACCATATCAAAATTTCAGAATTGAAAGAGATCTGATATATCTGTGATTACCTTAAAGGGGTCTTAGGTTTGGAAATACTGGGGTGCAGATCAAAAAAGCAGAAGGTAACCTTAAGCTCCCATTTCCAAGAGATAAGAAAAGAGGCAGTCACATCCCAGGGCAAGAGAGGAAAAGACATTTTTTAGAAGATTCCCAAGGGAATGCCTAAGTATCAAGTTCACAAAATGTACGTCTGTATCTTGTCCCTCACAGTTTGGAGAAGTTAGGCACAGACAGAAGAGCTCAGAACTACAACCTGAAAAGTTGGGACCTGGGCTATTTCTACCACCTTGGGTAAAAACTTCAAGAGCCAGAGTTAGAGAACAATCAGGATACTCTAAATGCTCTTAAAGGTCTTACTGAAAAAGAAACCCAATCACTGAGTGTGCTTAGTGTTTATTTTTCAAAGATGTTTATCACAAAATCTTTTGCTAGGGAGTGTACGTCCTATTAATCATACTTTGTGAAACATGCTGTAGCATGTAAGGATCTGACTTCTCATCCAGATGCCACCACCAACTCACTGTGAGCCTTGAGCAATTACTTCTTTCTCTGGGCTTTGGTATCTTAGTCTAAAAAGGGCAGGAGGGGGGACAAGGCCACCACCCAACAGAGATCACAGCTTTTTCTGAAACTGAAACATGAGACATTGCAACTTGTATTTACATTCATTCATTTGTTCACTTATTCAACACATTTGTGGCAGGTCTGCACTGTGTCAGACGCTGTTCTAGGTGCTGAAAGTACAGCAGTGCTCCAAGTAGACACAGTGCCCGCCCTTATGGAGTTCGGATCTGGGGGACAGACAATAAGCAAGGAAACCAGAAAACAAAGGAATTGTTGGCAATAGAGACAGTGGATGGACTTGAGATTATTTTACAAGTAAGGAAGTAGATTTTGTGATGACCTGGCTGTGGGAGGTGATGGAAAAGGGGGGCATCAGGGATGACTGCCAGCTTTTGGGCTGAACACTAGGCTTCAGAGTATTTATGTCCTTACTATTATCCCTGGCCAGCAGGTCCAGGTTTGACTGGAAGGAAAGAAATCTACATATTTCCAATCCCTAGGGCCCTTTCCCGGGCAGGTGATGTGCTTCTCAACCCTTCCACCATTTTGGACTTTTGTTTGGCGGGGTTAGGGGGAGGGGATTTATTTTGTATCCTGTATCTCCTGAGAAGCTCTTTAAAGGCCCCTGAGGGGACCACTGGTCCTGGTCCCTGAGCTGCTGAAAAGTTAACATGTGGCATTTAACACCTGCCATTATCATCCTGCCAGACCCAGCCTGGAGCCCATTCAGCAGAACTGTGTGGCCTCTCACTTCCTCCTTGAGTTAACCTTCCTCTGGGAAAGTCCACTTAAAGAAGCTTAACCCCAGGACCTGGGGGAGCAAGAAGACCAGCTACTAAGTGCAGCTTTGATGAGAAGGATTGAGAAGGGGACCTGATTTGCCGGATCTTTCCCAAGCAGGTATCGTGTTGCCCCTCCTGAAGGACAGAACACCATGGAGGAGCCAGCTGGCATGTGGTAACCTCCAGGTGCATTGATCCACCCAGAAAACACCTACTGAAAGCCTGTGCCCTAGAAGATTAGAGATTTCCATCACCGGCAACCTCCCCACTGGTTAGAAAAGGGAAGAGCTAGGTGGACAATGTCCCTAGATGTCCCAGGGGAGAGTGGGCCACTCTGCTTCCCTAGAGAGGAAGAGCAGAGGTGCTTGCCAGGGGAGAGAAGATACACTGGAAGCAGGGAGCCCTTCTTTCAACTTTATTTATGCAACAAGAATGCACCAAGCTGGGAATGTGAATTGGTACAGCCACTATGGAGAACAGTATGGAGGTTCCTTAAAAAACTACAAATAGAACTACCATATGACCCAGCAATCCCACTACTGGGCATATACCCTGAGAAAACCATAATTCAAAAAGAGTCATGTACCAAAATGTTCATTGCAGCTCTATTTACAATAGTCCGGAGATGGAAACAACCTAAGTGTCCATCATCGGATGAATGGATAAAGAAGATGTGGCACATATATACAATGGAATATTACTCAGCCATAAAAAGAAACGAAATTGAGCTATTTGTAATGAGGTGGATAGACCTAGAGTCTGTCATACAGAGTGAAGTAAGTCAGAAAGAGAAAGACAAATACCGTATGCTAACACATATATATGGAATTTAAGGAAAAAAAATGTCATGAAGAACCTAGGGGTGAGACAGGAATAAAGGCACAGACCTACTAGAGAATGGACTTGAGGATATGGGGAGGGGGAAGGGTGAGCTGTGACAGGGCGAGAGAGAGGCATGGACATATATACGCTACCAAACGTAAGGTAGATAGCTAGTGGGAAGCAGCCGCATAGCACAGGGAGATCAGCTCGGTGCTTTGTGACTTGTGACCGCCTGGAGGGGTGGGATAGGGAGGGTGGAGGGAGAGAGATGCAAGAGGGAAGAGATATGGGAACATATGTATAACTGATTCACTTTGTTATAAAGCAGAAACTAACACCCCATTGTAAAGCAATTATACCCCAATAAAGATGTTAAAAAAAAAAAAGAATCCACCAAGCACCTGTGTTGTGTACCGGGCCCTGTTTCAGGCACCTGGATGCAGCAGTGAGGAGGCCTCGCGAACCAGGATGCACTCATGTTATTTATCTATACTTACAATAAACCTGGGTCTGTACTTTGGACTGTGGCACAAATGAGTCACATTTGTGAGGGCCCCAAAGCTCTATAAGAAGAATCAGCTTATCTTCCACGCATGTGAAATAATCAGTTCATTGGCTGCAGGGGCGGTGGCTGTCTTCTGAGAACAGCAATGAAAGGGGCTGTGATGAGCATGAACCCCAGCCTAGAGGGCAAATCCCTTGAAGGCTAGACCCGTCCTTATTTCTTCCCTTCCCTCCCATAGAGTCTAGTCCGGTACTGAGTGAATAGGAAGGCTTGGTCAGGATCTGGGGGTTGGGGGATAGATTGCTCTCGGTGTCCCGCTGTGTTGGTATTATCCTTGGGTCACCGTCACCTGAGCCTCACTGTCGTTGGGCAGTGAGTGACAAACATTTAATTGACTATAGCTTTACCCAGGCCTTAGCCCACAAAATCACTGAGAGGTAAAGATTCTAATATACATTTTCTGCTTTTAAAAATGAAGTTCTGATGATTAGCCCTTGGTCACTAGGATCCAGGACCTTTGGTCCTGTTACTGTGTTTAGTAATTTTACAACTTTGGTCCTGTTACTGTGTTTCGTAATTTTACAACAACAATTCTGACCCCAGCCCCTTACCTTAGCTGGATGATAAACCCAGGTTTGGTGTGAATGGTCCATTCGCAGTGAGCATTCAGGGGGTAGCTCTCCAACAAAATCTGGCCCTTTGGGACTCGTAGAACCTGGCCACATCCTAAGAAGAGAAGATTGGGGAATGGAAATTGGAGTCAACAGGAAAGAGATGGTAAAAGGTCGCAAAGCCCCTGAGCTCATCCCACACCCTTGAGAACAGAATGGAGAAGGATATTTCTACTTCTCAGGCACCTGGCAACGTGCTAGGCAATCGGCAGTGAATTGTTAATTCCTCTGATCCAGCCAACAGCTTGAGAAGAGAAGTAGTACCATTCCAGTTTTCCAGATGGAAAAATAGATAACCAGAGATTAAATAAATAACTTGTCTAGCTACTAAGTGACAAAGCAGAGATTTAAACCTGTGTCTGGACGTAAAGTCCAAGCCACTCTCTCCCCTGCCTCTCTAAGACGGCCGCATGCCAGCCTGCTGCTGCCACCTTACCAGGCTCAGAAAGCAGGCCCTCCCCGCAGCTCTACATGGGACACTGTGGCCTTTGTCCAGAGTCTAAATCTGCATAAGACCCTTTGGTCTGTGTTCCCTGCACATTTGCTACCCCACAAATATAACCCCAAAGCAACTCCTTCCTGACCCCCCTCCATCCATTTAGAAAATGTATGTATTAATTTGTTCTGTGAGCAACTATGTGATAAACACCTGCAGGGGGACATGAACTCCAACCATTTGGACTGGATTAGTGGTTTTCAATTTTTTTCTACCTCCCAAGCCCTTTTTTTTTCCAGACAAACTCTTATGAAGACCACCAATTTAATTTTTAAAAATGGATCCAAGAGGGGCTCCTGGTTGAAGCAGAAGCTGGGGCCCCAAGCCCTCCACTCTCACTATCACCTTGGTCTCCTGAGTTACCTCCAAGGAATCCCCAAGATTTGAAAACCACGGAACAGAGTCTTCATTAAATTATATCATATCTTCTAGTGTTAAGCAGAGATGTGTAAGATGCACCTTAGTTTTACAAAAGAGTTTGGGGGAAATGTCTTGAATTGGTGTTATAGAAAAAAATGTTATCTGGGTCATGTAAATAAACTATATTTTCTACCAGAGTTGGCAAACTATGATCCATGGGCCAAATCCGGCTTCCTGCCTGTTTTTTAAATAAAGTTTTATTGGAACACAGCCACACCCATTTTTAATGCATTGTCTAAGGTCAGTTTCCAGCTATAATGGCAGAGTTGAGCAGCTGCAAAAAGAGACAGGAGAATCCACAGAAATGAAAATATTTACCATCTGCCCCTTTACAGAAAAAGTGTATTTAACCCTGTTCTACACAGAACCCAGTTTAACCTCATAAATTCTGGACATGCGGTTATCTTCAATAACCCCCCCAAATAAATTCTCATTGCTCAAAAGAAAAATATGAACATCAGTGGATGGTGCCTCATGGCAGGATGATGTTAGTAATAATTCTACAGTGTTAGGAATACAGCCCAAACTCTGCTTTTGACAAGCTGTGAGGTCTGAAGCGTGTGACTTTTGCAAAACGGAGTGCTAGGCAGCGTGAGTCATCTCATCATTAGGACGTTTACTGCTGCTGCCCAGTACCACATGGGAAACATCTTCCACCACTTTCCATGTGGGGCTCCTGTCTGGGCCAGGCCTCCATTCTCTCTCTCTGCAATTCCAGCCTCCTCACATCCATCCTTGTCTCCCAACTTTCCATTCTCCACGTAGCAGCCAAAGCCACCTTTAAATAAATAAATTAGATCACATTACTCTCTCGACTCGACCCTCCAAAGGCTGGCCACTGTGCCTCCCCTTCCCACAGCATCCACGGCCCTGCCTCACGGACCGCCCAGCCCTGCCCTCTGCCCGGTTTCTACCACCACCCATCTGGTCTTCATGCAGCTCCAGACACACGGCCTCCTTTCTGTCCCAGCTCCAAGCCTTGCACCCACTGCTCCCTTAACCTACAAGGTTCATCTTCTTCCACATCTCCTTCCTTTGGGAATTAAGCTCAACTGCTGCTTCTTCAAAGAAAACTTCCTGGACCACCCAGCTAAAATGGACCTTCACGTCTCTACAGTCACTGCCTTTTGCTCGATTTTGTTTTCTTCTTAACACACATCACTATCTGAAATTATCTAGCTTATCTGCTTACTCCCTTTGGTAGAGCTGGGACTTCTCTAGCTTGTACACCTAGAATGGAAACTGGCATATAACAGGTGCTCAAAAAAGAGCTGTTGAATGAATGAATGATGATATTGTGACAGGCCAGGGACTGGCTAAGAGACTTACACAAATTCTCTTGTTTAATCCTCACAAGAAACCTGGGAGAACGATATTCATCTCCCCAGTCCCCAGACAGGAACACTAAGGATGGGAGAAGTTAGGTGACTTCCCCACAGCTGGATGGCCAGGAAGTCGGAAGACTGCAGACGACTGTTCTAACTGCTGAGCAGTGGTTACGACGGGACTCCCGAGTCCCGCTGTCATTGGTTTGAGTCTCAGCCTTAGCGTCACGGGGCTGCGTGGCCTTGGGCAATTTTCTTCATCTCGCAGAACCTCACTAGACCGGAGCCAAATGGGAGTAACTAGCACTTACTTCATACGTTTTGCGAGACTTGAATCGGATCACGCACATGGAAAGCAGTGAGCAGAAAACTCAGCAAATGTTAGCTGTTGCTACTTGGTGGCAGAGCGGGGATTTGAACTTGGATCTGTCTAGTACCAAGGCTGGGTCTCTGCTAGTGCCTTAAACTGTCGTAGGGTTTCCTGACCCAGCCTTCTCCCACTCGGTTTTGAAGCAGCAGGATTTTTCCACCACCACCCGTCCCCCAAATACATTGAATCTCTGCCCCAGCCCCCAACTTCTGGAAGAGCACGTGCCTTCTGCCTGCATACCTCACACTCCTCATGGCCCCCATCCGCCCATCTGCTGCCCGGCTACGGAAGTGATACATTGGGTGTGAGAGACAAAAAAAGAAACCTTCCTGCACAGTCTCCGCCCCTCTGGGACTGGCAGCCTCCCAGCCACAAGGTGTTAAATCCCAGCTCCGCAGCAAACCTCCTGCAGGGACCCCAAGTCGGAATCAGCAGCAGATGCCGCCAGCCTGCTTCTCGTTTCTTCCCTGGAATCAGACAGCAGTGTCACTGCCCTCCCACCCCGCAGGTCCACGGGGAGCTGGTGCCCCTCCCCAGGAAGGTCTTCTTGGCAAGACCACACGGTCTTTGGCCAGCCCCAGGGTCTCGTGCGGCCTCCGGAGGGCCGGGAGCCCCACCCACCCCGGGGGGCTGGCCCCCAGCCACCTGAGATGCAAGACCACTTGTTCCTGGGGCCCAGGGGCCGTCCTTCAGAAGCAGCCAGGATTCCCGGCCACATGTGACGCCTCGGTCCCTCATGATGTTTTCCTTCTGACTCCAGAGGGGAGGGCAGAGTCGGTCCCAGGAGTGGGGACAAGTTCCAACCAGCCAGAGACAAAGAGGCCACTTCTCAGAGATGTGCTCTGGGGGGAGGGTACTGGGCACCGGGAAAAGAAGGCGCTCTGCTCCCTCCTCACACCAAGTGACTCCCAACTCCACGTGGGCGTCCGAGTCCGAGGGTCCGGGGGCGGGGCAGACTCACTGCACCCTCTGTCTAGGGCAGAACACCGAACACAGGTGAGCGTCCCCGCCAAGGAAGTACGGCTGGCCAACCAAGCAGGTGGTCCTGAGTCTGAAAGACCAGAGAGGCAATGGCCCAGACGAAGTGCTCAGATTCCCTGACCATGTCTTGCTGCAGGGGAAGAGGGTGTGTGTATGTGTGTGTGCGTGTGTGTGTGTGCGCGCGCGTGTGTGTGTCTGCAGGGAATTTTGCCAGCCAAGCCAGACTGTCCCCTGGGATCTCGAATCCTGGACTCATCTCCAAGGCCGCCCCCTCCCCCATCTTTCCCCTTGGCTACAAACCCAGACAAGAGAGAGAGCTGGATAGACTCTGCCTCTACAGAGCTGAAAGGAAACCTTCATGAACTGCTAAACTAGAAAGAGAGCGGAAGGTTCCCAGCAAAAATGAACACCCCCAGCATTCAGACAAGTCTTGTTATCTCCAGCTGGGGAAGCAAGGAAGGAGAGGCAGGAGAGAGACACAACATACTTCTGAGAAGCAGTGCTTTTTTTTTTTTTTTTTCCTTTAATCTTTCCTCTTGGATGGGGGCGGGGGAAGGACTAAAGAAAGCATTCTGACCTAAAAAGCCACTTGCACTTTCCTTCCTCCTTCAAATAGCACTCAGGAGACAGGACTCACAATGGTTAAGGGGCAGCCTGGAAGCCCGACCAGGTCGTAATCTCAGTTCAGATTTTCCAAGCTGTGGGACCCGAGACAAGTTCTCTAGATTTTCCAAGCCAAGGTTCCCTCACGTGGAAATAAGCATAATAGGAGTACCTGCTACCATGTTGTTGTTGTTGATAAGTTCTTATTTGTTTGAGGATTAAATGAGATAGATATTGTATGTAGAGCATTTAGCAAAGTGCCTGGTACACAGAAACCCTCCGTAAATGGCACCTAATACTGTCGCGTCTCGAGTCTTGTCTGGATCTGAGACACAAATTTGGTACAGGAATCACAGGTGACAGCTCAGGTTCTGACCCACCGCTCCAGGGCTCCTAGGAGCCTCTTTACATCATGGGCTGAAGCCCTAAAGCCTGTAGGCCCAGGAGCTCCGACACTGATGGCAGAACAAAAGCCTGGATGAGGACATGGGAAGGACCAGGAGCCACAAGGAAGCTCACACCTTCCATGTGATTTGGTTCATCCTACCCTGACCTGCTAGGCCCTCAGACAGGCACTCGGAGTGAGGACCTCACGGGCCTCTCACATCAAGAGGCGGTTTAGTATAGAGGACGAGAGACTGGGCCCTGGGGCCCAGCCTCTGAACTGGCACCTTGGCTTTGCCACTTACCAGCTGCATGACAGCAAGCGGGAAAGTTACTCAGCCCCTCTGTGCCGCAATGCCCTCACCTATAAAAGGCTGTGATGCGGATTAATGAGTTTGTACGTGAAGGTACTTAGAACAATACCTGGTTCAAAATAAGTGCTAAGTGATGGCTTTTGTCAGGGGCTCAGGTCTTCA